TTGATAGAAACTGACTGACACATCTTACTCCCCTGATACATTCAAACTCTATTATGAGAGATCCAACGACTCTTACTTCTTTACCTTGTACTATGGAGTAGAGAAAATTACTATGCACCACTAGGCTGAAAATTGAATGGAAGGCAATTCATGATAGGCTTCCACAATGATGGCAACGTATCCTAAAATCCTTATGCAATATTGTGTCTCATAAATATTCTTTTGGATTTTATTTATAAATAAATATACAGCATGACCAAATAATAATGGTGTCGGGGAAAACTAATTTTCTGCTCCTGGATGTCTACATTATTAATGTAAATAGATTATAAAGTAGTGATTTGGGCTTGTTTTTTTCCCCATTAAATTTCTTGAAATGAAAAAAAAAAAGACTACGTAGAATACCAACGTATGTGTGTACAGTTTGAGAACACAATCTCATAGCAAAAATTTACCAAAAAAAAAAGTTGGAAGAACTATGAAGATAGTATCATGAATTTTATAAGGTGTCTTTCAATCTTTATAATTCTACAGTTTTGTAAAGCATAATCTCCCTTTGTATAGTTTTTTTGAAGCTCCCCATGGCATGCTTTGTAGAGCTTGGCAGCAGCTGATCAACGGGAGGAAGAGGGTTGGACTGGGTAGGGGAAGGTGGATTGACAGTGAACAGGGAGAAATGATGAATAAGGAAGACAAATACGAGGGCGGAATAGGGACAAAAGACAAATGGGGAAAGCTGAGGCAGAAGGGAAAATTGAAAAACAATCTATTAAGGTGGAGACAGGCCTAGAGGTAATGGATGACACTGTAAACCAAAAGAGAGAAATAAAGGAGACGAAAACAAACAAAGTCTAGGGGTCAGAAGTAGAGAGGGTGGTGGAGAGAGAACAGAAAGGAGAGAAACAGTGGATGTGGGCTGAAAGAGAAAAAGGGGAAGGGAGAAAAGAGAGAAAAAAGAGAAAAGAAAGAGGGGAAATGTTGTTGTTGTGTTTGTCCTTTATTCTCAAAGAGGACCATGACACCAGGGAGATGATAATACGACTTGCAATTGACTTTGACTTGAGTGAGGGAGGGCTATGCAAGGTCACCTGCCTCACTTTCTCCTCCAGAGCCATCTAGGTCCAGTGGTCAGATATTCATCAGGACTACTGAAGATGGCTCAGGATGCAGTGGGAGACCTAGGCCCTTTAAAGCTAGGTTCTCACTTTGAGTAAGGTAATGCTCATTCAGTGAATAGGCCTCTTTAAGAAGTGAGGCAAGGGATAGTCCCTTAAATTAAAAAAAAAAATCAAACTGGGAGTGGAAGACCCTCAGGGTTACTGGCCAAAAGAGAAACAGTTACTATTTACATTCACTCTGAGCTAGGAGGGCCCAAAAAATAACCATAAGTGGTGCTTGGATCAGGACCTATTGTCCAATCTATGAGCTCCAGAGTGAATTGGGTTTAAGGCTTGGTCTTTAAGGAATCTAGCCAGTAAACCCCCAGAGAGGAAGTGGGAGAGGGAGAGGGAAAGGAAGAAGAAGAAAGGGGAAGGAGAAGAGAGGGAAAGAGAAGCACCAACGCAGACAGAGAAAAGGAAAGAATGCTATTTTGGATTGTGCTCTAAGTCAGGTTTGTATTAAAATATTTAAAAGAGAAAGAAAGGTTGAATGGTAAATGACAGACCATATAATGAAACAAATCTCCTGACTAGTAAAAGGTTCTTTTCTTATGCCATGGAACACCAGAGAGTCAATTATTAGTACTATTTGGTAAGAAGTTGTACCCTACAATTTCATTTTGGAGAGGCATGAAATAATAGGAAAAAAAAAAACATTCACATCCTGCCTGTGACACTTATCTGTGTGATCATGGGCTGATCATATCACCTCTCTAACCTTCATTGCCTTCATCTGTAATTGAGAATGTTAGTTTTTGTATGACCTATCTTGTTGGGCTCTTGAAAGGAGCAAATAAGATAACGTATACAATAATAACCACTCTAAATCTTCAAGGCTATAGGAATGTCAGGCGTTTTGATGGTTTCAGAATTGTTGTCATTACACTTAGACATTTCAGTTAAGCCCCATTGTCCATGGAGTGCTTAGTACTACTCCGCTCACACACACACACACACACACACACACACGTTCACTTGACCTTGCCATCCCTTTATCTTAAGCCTTTCTTTCTGTAAATTGCTAAAATCCTAGAAAGAATCATCTACACTTGTCGCCTTCACTTTCTCACCACTCCCATTCATATCCCGGCCCCTTGTAGTACAGACTTTATCACTTGACTGAAACTTTGTTCTCCTAGGTTCCTGATGAACTCTTAACTGCTAACTCTGATGGCCTTTTCCTAGTCTTCAACCTTCTACACCTCTCTGCAGTTTTTGATTCTACTCATTTTCTAGGGGTTCAAGTGTCTTCTCTATGGAGATGAGGCTTATCTATATCTATATCTACACACATATACACACACATTATACACTAGTGTGTGTGTATATATACATATAGTATACATATACATACTATCTCTCTCTATACAGCTATATATACACATAATTATAACTGTATAACTATAACTATACATATTATGGGTATTATTTCTCACATTTACTAGGCAGTTAGAATATAGTGTTAAATATGAAAAGGATGTAGATGAAAGCTCAATGATCTTACACTCTTGTCAACAGTATGAAACTGAAATATTCATATCAATTTCAGCATATTTGGTACCACTAATATTCAACTCAGTTAAATCTGACCTTTTTTAGTTTCGTATAAATCTCTGTGCAAAATGCTATGAGAGATACAAAGCTAAATAAAACATGGTCCATGGGAGAGGGAAGAGGTCATGGGATCAAAGACACAGGGGAAGAAGGAAGCCTTGGGATGATGGGATACTTGTTTCTTTGAGCCAGGAGAAAAAGAAGAGTCGGTGGGTGAAGATACAGAGACATTTGGGGATATGGAGGACAGGAGGTGAAGGAATTTATTTTTTCAGTGGCTTTGAGAGTGTCAGGAAAAAAGGCAATGAGGTCATCTGTTAAGATTGTAAATAGGGAGTTGAGTTGGATAAAAGGACTATTGAGAAGCAATGAAAGCTCAGCTAAGCTTAGGCAGCATGAAATTTATAGTGGATGAAATCAGCCCACTTTTATGATTAGCTTCAACAAAGCTCAGAAGCCCCAAAGTAGAGAAATTGATTAGTGGGGGTTATGGAGGCTTGAGAATTGCTCCAGCAAGCAATTAAAGGAGAGAAGCATTCTAGGATGCTAACTAGCAAACATGAATCAGCTGAACCTAGGATCTAGGGTACTGAAGTCAGAGGTGGATTTGAATCATAGGCAAGAGTCAAAAGTCCAGCCATCACAGTAAGGACAAAGAGTAAGTGCTGGGTGTATAGGGAATGAGAGAGTGGAAGGACAGGAGGCTGTCGGCAGAAAGTAGAATTTTAGACTTCAGGGTATTTGAGGTGGCATGTTTTCCAATAAGGAGGAGGAATAAGGTATTCTTGTACATGGCTGAAATGGGATGGAGGTAGAAATTACTCTGGTTTTGGCAGTTGAGAAATAATAAGGTCAGAGTATTGGAAGGGTGATGAACTGATAGATTGATCTCAATGTATCCTGAGGGGTGTGTGAAATCCAGGCTAACACTTTAAGAAATTTCACAATTTTATTTTTCTGAGAGCGGATAGAGTGCTGGATGTAGAGTCAGGAAGAACTTAGTACAAATCCTGCCTCAGACATTTATTAGCTGTGTGACCATGGGCAAGGTACTTAATATCTGTGCCTCAATTTCTTCATGTGTAAAATGAGACAACTAGGTGCCATAGTGGATAGGACTCAGAGCCTGGAGTCAGGAAGACTCATCTTCCCAAGTTCAAATCTGGCCTCAGACACTAAATAGCTTTGTGACCCCTGACCAGTCACTTCACCCTATTTGCCTCAGTTTCCTTATCTGTAAAAAGAGATAGAGAAGGAAATGGCAAACCACTCCTGGATCTTTGCCAAGAAAACCCCAAATGGGGTCAAGAAGAATCAGACACACCTGAAAAAATGACTGAACAATAAAATGGGGATTGAACTCGATGACCTTGAAGTTCCCTTCCCAGTTCTAAATCTATGATCTGATGAAAATGATGATGATGATGATGATAGCATTTACATAATGCTTTTAACGTTTGCAGAGTGCCTTAGAAACATTTTCTCATTTGATCATCTCAATAACCCTAGCAGGTAGATACTATGATTGTTCTCATTTTATAGATGAGGAAACTGAGGCTGAGAGAGGTTAAGTGACTTGCTCAGGGTCACACAGCTAGGAATCCATATATTGAGGCAGAACTTGAACTTGGGTATCCTGGTTCCAAGTCCAACACTCTATCTACTTTACCTTCTAGTTGTCTATGACCCTATTCTTCACTAGAAATGTCCTTAAAATGGACAGGGAACTTGGGTTCCTTTCCCCCCCACCCTCTTTTTGAACTATATGTAAGATCTTAGGGCAAATAATTAATTATCTATAGGTCTTGATTGTCCCATCTCTAAAACAGGTGTGATAAATGGCATAGTGAGTAGAATGCTGGCTGAATACAAGGCTTGGGAAGTCTAGAAGTCAAATAATACTCCAGACAATAGCCATGTGAACGTGGGCAAAGTTAGAGCTAGACCTAGAGGTCTCAGCTTTTTCATTTGAGGGGGCTGGACAGGACGGCTTTGAAGATCTTTTTGAGATCTAAATCTATATGATCTTTTGATGATGTCGGTACAACAGAGGTGCTTTTTGGATAGGCTAAGTATCTGACCTCTTTGGAAGAAAGACACCATGCTAATTCAGAGAAGATTATATTAGTAGCAGACTATCTGAAAGTATAAAAATGTCCTAATCCTTAAATACTTGGGAGTTTCCATCTTTAAAATGTTGTCAAGAACATGCCATTTTTATTAATGGAAGATCTTTCCTTCAGTATGGGTTCACACATAATATTGGCAAGCACGTAAAAATCATACCTCATTTTTTTCTTTTAGCTTTGTGATCATAACAATGACGGGACTGTCCTCTTGCCAAACCATATGCCAGAAATCATTCACGGTGTTAATCATGGGCCCCTGTGTGGCGATGAAAGCTTTCTCCTCGCCACTGTAACCCTGGTTTAAATGCAGAGACAAAAACATTGGCTTTAAATTCATGCCTTGCTCTAGAAATTCAGGTGAAAGATCTACAGAACAAAATTGCTGTGTGAGTCCAAAAGCAACACAGACTAGAATGTCACTGAATATCACCTCAGATTCTATGTGGTGATTTTTCTAGCAAGCCAAGCATAGCATTATGGTACCCATTTGGACAACCCATGAGAACAAGAGGCTGCCAGGGCCCAGATAGGGAAGATATAATAAACGTGCCACTAAAAAGGCTAACAGTTGAGGAAAAAGGTGCAAAATATTTAATAATGAAATCAAATGAATCTTAGGCTATTTCAATAGGAGAGTGGTGGCAGGATGGGCAAGGAACGAAACTACTATAATCATTGAGAAGAAATACATGATTATTTACTCACCCTAATGTAGTTAGCATTAATGTAGGTACTCAAAGAATCAGCTGGATTTTTTGGCTTTAAACACACTCTGCTGAGAGGATCTAATAATCAAAAGAAAAAAGAAAATTAAGTAGATTACCCTGGAAAAGCATCCTCATGAACTCAAGTATCACTGGGTAGAATAGTACAGTAGACAGTACAGAATCATGAAACCTTAAGAGATGGAAAGACTTCTGAGGACTTTTAGGTATACTTCTCACCTCACATAGGAATCCTCATCCCTTTAAAATATCTCTGACAAATAAATGTCTAGCCATCTTCTACTTGAATGCCTTAGGCAATGGAGAGCTCACTAGCCTGGAAGGAAGCCCATTATATTGTTAGGCAGAATTACTAGAATGTCTTTTCTTATGTTGAGCTCAAATCTCCTATTGGTGGCTTTGTCTTCTGGAGTGACTCCAAATGTATTTAATCCCTTCCACATGCCCACCCTTGAGATATTTGAAAGTAGCTGTTAGATAATTTAGTGCTTCTGGCATGTTCCATTTTATTGCTAGATATTGATATGGAAAAACTGCATAGGATTTTAATAGTCGTTTTGTCATTATCCACTGACCACGTACAAATATCTCCTGACCAGTCAATTTAAGTCATTTCAATTCAACTCAACAAACATTTATGCAAGTCATTTCCCGGAATGGCCCTGCTCAGGAAGCCACCTGGATTTCATGCTCTTGTGGCTCCATTCCTTCAGAGGTACAATGAGGCAATTGGATCTTCTCTCCTTTTCATCCCTTCTATGGTCTCCATCAATTATCCAAAAATGGTTCACACCATTTACAATACAAGCCTTTCATAATCCCATGTCTAGGGCTAACTTGAAAGTGCTAAATGATGCTAAAGTAGGAGATACTTGGCGAAGAAAGGATATGTGAAAGAATTATAGCCTAGCCACGCTAGTCTACTTTTCCCCATACACAATACCCCATATCTTTTCCTCTTGCCATTCCGATCACGGTCCTTGATGTCTAGAAGGCTCTTTCTCTTCACCTTTGCTTCTTAGAATCGGTGACTTCCTTCAAGACTCAGTACAAGTGCTACATTCTGCAGGAGGCCTTATACAGTCTGGTATCCTCTATTTGAATATCTAAAGACAATGGAGAATTTACTACCTCAGAAGGAAGGTTTGGGGGCCAGGACCTTTCCTTCTAAAGCAGAGATTCTTAACCTGGGGTCCATGAACTATTTTTTAATATGTCAGTAACTGTATTTCAATATATTTTTTTGTAATCCCATGTAACTTATTTTGACATTTAAAATATTCTTCTGAGAAGGGGTTTATAGCCTACCCTAGACTGCGAAGGGAGTTTATGATGCAAAAGGTTCCATATCCCAGCTCCAACATTACCTTGTATCTATTTTGTACGTATCATGTTTATACATACATATATAGATCATGTAATATTAGAAAGAATATAATATTTACATAAATAAAATTAATTGTATTAATGTCATGTTATCTTTTATATATATTATATATAGCATTACATATCATATAACATGTTTATATATGTACCTATTGACTCCTCTATTAGAATATAAATTTCTTTGGGGCAGGGACATTTTTTGTTTTTCTTCGTATCCTCAGTGCCTGGTAAAATGGCTGTTGATTACTTTTGGCCATAGACAAAATTCTACTCTTTGAAGCATTTTACCTCATTCAGAATGTAATAAATTTGGGGGACAATATGTTACATGATGTCAAGGTAATTAATTAGTCTAGGAATACAATTGGCCAGTCATAAGTGTGGGCAAAGATAAGGTTTCAGAATAGTCAAAATGAATTATTAAATTAGCACATTCTGATGCCAAACCAGAAGGTGGTGTGGATACTATATGATATTCTATTACTATGAAGAGCTTTGCCTCATACCTTTGGGATGAAGGTATGTAAGACAATCAACTGGTTTAAAGTGACAATATCAATATATTTTGCTTAGGAAGAGCTAAGATCTATTTGCAGCTCTATACTGAGAAATGAGACAGATTTTTTTTTACTAACTTTGACTAAAAAGAGCATCTCTTAGTCATATCACAGGGCAGTCATAGGAAACCAGGGGATAGTGATCTGTGCCAAAAATCAGGAAGACTATTTCCTGGTTTCACCCATTCCTACATATTCTTTGACTGAAAATACTTCCCATACAGTTCCTTACATGCCATATAAAAAAGCCACTCAAGGATCATGGAACTGGAAGGATAATTAGGGATCAGTAAATAAGTGTGAGGAAAGACAAGTTTTCAGAATAACCTAGAGAAAATCTTACATTAGCACACTGATGCCAAAACAGAAGATGGTATAGAGATAATCGTTATCCAGTCCAAGGGTTCATGATCTTTTTTTTTTTTTTTTTTTTTTACTATCATCCACCCCTTTGGCAGTTTGGTAAAACTTATGGACTTCCTTCTCCAAATCATGTTTTCAAGTGCATAAAATAAAATACATAGATTACAAAGGCAACTATTTTGAAATAAAGATTTATTTTCTCATTCAAAGTATGTAGATTGATATCTAGGGGTCTGTGAATTTGGATGGGGAAAAATTTTATCTTAATTTCAATATGATTTGGAGGATCCATGGATCCCAGTTTAAGAACTCTCATCCAATTCAATTCTCTCAATTCACAGAAGAAATCAAGATCTAGAGGGATGGGGCTGCTTGCCCTAAGGATATGCATTTACCAAATGATGGAGGTCAGAGTTGAGTCAAGCAAGTCTATAACTCTATTATCTCCTTCCTGGGCATTATCTTCGGCAACTTGGCAAACATGAATCCTCTCAGGTCTGAGAATAGGCCAGCAGGCAATGCTATTGATTCTGCCATGAATAGGCGAGTCTAGGTGTCCCTATACTACCTAATATAAATATTGTCATACTGCTCTGGCTAGCTATATGAAAGTAAATAGATATCCCAGCCTGAAAATGCCAAGTACCGATTGGAAAGAAACATCTTTCTTACTCATGCACAACAGACTATTCACTGATAAAACACTGGCTTGCTTACCATTGCACATGATTCAGCCAAAGTCTAAAGAGTAATGTATTTGACATTCTAGGGTCATTTTTCAGGCACAGGAAATCAGATAACAAAACCTTCAAGGCACAAATTGTTAGATAAAATAAATCAGTGGTTTCTGTCCTCCTTTGGATGCCTTATCACAGGGAAGAGGTCATTTGAGATTGTTGAGGGCTAACCCTGTGACTCCAATAGGCTACCAGTTCCTACCGAAGTAGAAAGTAGAATGGAAGCTACTTGAGGTCAGGGAATGCCTTGGTGTCCCTAGTATGGTATCTTATACATAGTAGGCACTTTCTAAATGTTTGTAGGATGGAATTGGGTCTTTGCATAAGCAGTCCCGTCTGTCTGAAATATATTCCTTCCTCACTTCCACCTTGCAGAAATCCTCACTTCCTTCAAAGTACAGCTCAGAGACTACCTCTTAGAACATTGTACACAGTAATAGCAGCACTGTGCAATATTCAACTTTGACAGACTTAGATCTTTTAAGCAATGCAATGATTTAAGACAATTCAAAAGACTCATGCAGATCAAAGAATACTATTTTCTCTTTTGTTGTTGTTTTTTCTTTCTTGTGGTTTTGCCCTTTGGTTCTAATTTTTCTTTACAACATGACTAATGGGGAAATGTGTTTAACATGATTGTGAAAGTATAGCCTATATCAGATTGCATGCTGTCTTGGGAAGGGGAAAGAGAGGAAGGGCGAGAAAATTTAGAGCTTAAAATTTTATGAGTGAATGTTGAAAACAATAAATAAATAGATAGATAAACAAATAAACAAATGAATGGATAGATAGATGGATAGATAGATAGATAAGACTACCTCCTAGATGGTTTTCCTAATCACCTATTATTATCTTTCCTTCTTGAAATTACTTTGCATTACTCTGTGTGTGTACGTGTGTGTGTGTTTGGAGGATGTCTAGATTTATGACTTCATTGCAATAGAATGCTCCAAGCGAGGAATCTCTTTCTCTAAATGAAGATCTTCAGTTATTTTGCAATGAATAGTCTTTGAGTAAAACCTGAGGAATGACAGGATAAGTGAGGTATTGAGGGTCACACTAGTTAGTTGTCTATGTGTCAAGAGGGAGGATTTAAATCCAGGTCTTCCAGACTCCAAGACCAGGTGATTCTGCATGGTGCCATACTGCCTGAACTTCATATGTACTGTGTAATTAATAATTTGTTTGTATGTAGTATGTATAATAAGCTTCTTGAAGGCTGTTTGTCTCTGTATCCCCAAGTGCCTGCTGTAAATGGCTTGCGCATAGTAGGTGCTTATTAAAAGTATAAATATGTGTAATTAAATTTAATTGAGAAAGTTTCAAGTCCGGTCCTGGAGATGGATTGTGGGTCTCTTGTCCGTGGATAAGCCTAGCTAAGTTCAGAGAGATTCACCCTTAGCTTGGCTATGAGAAGGTGAAATCTGGGGCCAGGGCAATTTATGAAGACTGTCTAGTCTGCTAAATTATAGAGGGTCTCAGATTTGGATTAATGGGGGGGGAGTGCTGACATCACAAACCGCTGATGTATTTAAATATTTGTGGGAAGAACCATACATAATATCAAGTGGAAGATGTCCTTTACACAGAATTTAGAATATAATTCAGGATTCTCTCTCAGCATGGCAATTACAAGCCAGAATGACCTGGAGAGTCTCTGGTCAGAGAAATGAAAATTCTGTCCTTACCCTCCTAGACTTCTCCAGTAAGGAAAATTTGCTTTTCTTAGCAATATGAAGACAGGAAACCTCTCATTCCTTTTCAGCACACACTGATTATTAGAAGTTTCCACAAACACCCTATACCACTCAGCCTTGAAAAAACTGCCCACTTCCTTTAGTTTTTACAATGGTTATGATGAACCTGATGTAGTGTGACCTCTACTCTATAAAATAGCTTAGACAGGCTCCCTGCTTAGCAGCTAAGTTAAGTTTATGTATGGAAATTAATAATTTACAGCATTTCCCAAGATTTACTGCTTGTCAAATACTTTCTTTTTAATCAAGAACATAACAGA